TCCTTCTTTAAAAGCCTTTATTGAGCCAATAAAACCCTCCCTTTATTCCATTCACCCCTGGCCAAAATACACTTCACAATCCCAACATAAACACCCACAAAGAGCCAAAACCATGACTCACCTCCAGCCCCTACTTCCTGCCCATGTTTCCCTCACAATAACCCAAAGCCATAACTCCAAAATACCCACAAATAATACCCAGCCATGTCCCATTTTAATGACCAAAAACAACCCTCCATTCTTACCCAAATAATACCCACAAAACCCAGGAAAACAACCACTACAACCCTAAAACCCAAAACCCCACAATCCCCAGCTCCATCCCTGATTTTATTCCACTAAAGAGACAGGAATGAGTGGCCAATACCCCATGCCTTGGAAGAGATTGTTGCAAGGAAGCTTCCCTGAAGTTTACATTCAATGTATTGTGAATTATCTCCCCCTTCCCCTGCCTATATAACTCAGGCCTTATGGCCATTGTAACACAACCTTTGAATATTGAAAATCTTTTACTCTTTGAGTATTATTAAAATAGTGTGATGCTATTTTAGCCAAATTCCTAATTCTATATCTTAAGAGTGGTTATCTTAAGTGTGAGTTTTAGGTTCTAGATATTTGATTAAGTGTGTCATATCTTAATTAAATTCTCTATTCAAACCCCAAGTTAGGATAAGAGTGTGTAATATCTCTTAAACACCAACTTGGTTTATCCATCCCTGATTTTCTTCCATTTCATACCTCCCCATTTCTCCGCTTAATCTTACTCTTTTCTTCCATTAAAAATACCCAAAAGAACTCCCTCATCAGCCCCATATATTTCCAACCCATTCCCCATAAAAACGCCTTTCTTCCTGTCCAGAATCACTACACAAACAATCGATTATCACTCCCCACAATCGATTATCAGTTCCATTGGAAACATCTGCAGGTAGTAATAATCGATTATCCCTTTAAGATAATCGACTATCACTCATTCCTAGAAAATCTGCAGTCTTCCATAATCGATTATCACTTCTTGTAAATCGATTGTTTATTTCTCCTAAACTTCTGAAGCTCCTCCTGAGAAACTGAATCATTTGACAATCGATTATCCTACTTGGACAATCGATTATCATACATCAAGGGAAACTCCTGCAGTCCTATATAATCGATTATCACCATACTGATAATCGACTATTAACCCATCCAGCAAAAGAAGGAGCTTGTTCCTTAAATCCGAGCTTAATACCGACAAACCCAGAGCGTAGATATAACATTTGGTATCAAAGCTTTGTGTTGAACATCCCTAAGGGATCATCTTTACACGCCTCCTTTGTTACTATCAACCATGCACTCTTCAAGCCATTTATCCACCATGCCAAGCTCTTCTCAAAACATGTTTCAAGGTGAATTAGCTGCTGCCCAGGAGAAACTAAAGAAGGAAGTTGAGCTTATGATGAAAAAAATCAAGGAGCTCACTAATTCAGTAGAGATTCCCACGTTTGAGGAAGAAACGACCCGGAGAAGTTCTCAAAGTGGTTAGCAAAAGTTGAAGACGTCTTTATACTCAAAGACGTACCCGAAGACAAGAGAGTCAAGCTAGTGGTGGCAAAGTTTCAAAGACATGCATCTACCTGGTGGGCTCGCATTGCTTCAAAACGAAAGCTCCAAGGAAAAGCGAAGGTGAGAACTTGGGAAAAGTTAAGAAAACTCTTAATTAAGAGATTTTCTTCCAAAGATCATCTCCACCAGGTACTTGAAAATAATCTCCCTTTTTCACCCCATACTATTTCTAAAGTCCTACCACCTTCCCCACAACAAAAGTCCCTCCATAATGCCCTCTCTCCCACAACCTTAACCTCCTCTAAATCCCGATCTTCGCAGAATTCCCATGCTACCCAAATCATTCCCGAAGCCACCACCATTTTCAACACTCAAACTCCCTCTAAAGTTCCCTGTTTACCTTGCATCCATGCTGTCCAAAACATCTCTCACCCAACTCCCTCACACCTACCCAAAATTCCTACTCAAACCTCTTTACCTTTCCTAGCCACTGCCCAAACTAACCCAACACCCCTTACCACAACCCTGCCCCAAAATACCTCAAAACCCATTTATATTTCATCCCTGGCCACTGTCCAAACAAGCCCCAAAACCCTCTTCACACCCCTGCCTCCAAACTTGCATATAACCATGCCTATAATTCCCCCTGAAACGGCCCTAACCATTCCCACACCTACCCCTACACCCCCACTTGAAAAACCAACTGAAAC